GCACTTCGTATTTTATCCATTATTTTAGAGATATTTGATAATCGAAATGTTTATTTGGCAAACCTGAGCGGACATGACAGGAGATTTGTTGATAGGCTTGTGGTGCTACCTGGCGGATATATTTATGAACAATAAAAACACTTATTTGTTCATTTTAATCACCTGATTGAAACCTGTCACTTGATCTATCTCTAATTGAATTATCATTAAGTAAAATTTATTTTTAATGTTGACGTTGTTATGCACTAGCAAGAGCGCATTATACGGAAACAAACCACACCCAAACCGTCTCCGTCCGGCCAAGGACTGTATAAATCTTTATTTGAACTAATGATAGTATAGCAAAGCCCAGCGCCAGAGAAGTCAGCGAACGAAGCGACATGACCGCTCCTGTATTTTGCTTTGCTCGAAGCAACGAAGTCCAGGCGAAACGAAGCGATATTCCAGCTCTCAATGTTAAGCTTCGCCTACGAGAACAAAGCCAGCGGTGACCAGCGAACGAGCAACATGCCGCCCCCCCGCTTGTAATTCGCTTGCTCCGCGACAGCAAGGCACGCAAGCTTTAATAGCTTTTTATAGTCGTTTATATTAACCCCCTTAAGTATCTAATTTCATATGTCTATAACCCCTCTTGATATTATAATTTATATCGATCTGCCCCCGTTATATATCGCTTGTATATCCACGACATTAAATGACATTAAGTGGGAAACGCTCTAATGGCAGCATCACCCGCATATCCGCTAACACTTACATCGAGGTTAGAGCCCTACGACGGTTTCTTAATCTGTGTGTCCATAGGGACCCTATTGGCAGTCGTGGAATGGATGCAGGGAGGTCGTGAACAGAGCGCATGCAAATACATGTTGTGTATATCTGTGCTTTTGTGCATTTTCTAGGGGTGGGTCATATGCTTAACAGATTCTCAAGGTGAATCCATGACTCAAAAAGTAAGAACACTGGTGTTACGTGTCTAGCTTCGGAACGACGCTGCAATAACACTGCAGATAGACGTACACCTGAGCTTAGAGAAAATAACAATAACAACGAGCACCTGTCAACTGGGTCTACCTCATCTGCTGCGACTTCTGCGGAATTCATGCAGACGTGATGATCAGAGGTCAAATGGTGGGCTGTATACAGGAACGGCGAGCGGGAGGGTCTTATTCAGGCCGGGTACGGGAGATTCGGTAGCGCACTATATATTGCTATATATTGACTAATCGAGAACTGGATCAAGAACTCATATTCACAGAGAGTTATAGCTAAGACATTGTTTTAAACGGTATCTGAGTTTTTAGAATTTAATCCACTGTATTCATTCCAGCGCGCATATTATTTGCCTATATGAGTATTACGTCGTTGCGTCAATAACTCAATTTTCACAGAGAGGATATGAGATTCAAGCCGGTAAGGGACGGATCATTCTGCATTTATTTTCTGATACCTTTAGACACATGTCCTATAGCTATATCTCTCTGGATATTCAGTTTATTGAACGCGCGATTAGTCATATATTAGCAAATAATATTCGCGTACCTAATCTCCCGTACGGCCTAGATATAGCATCCAACTGGGAGTGAAACATTTCCTCCCGGGCAAGCATGTGCAGCCCCCCATTTTCATTTTCATTCACGTGGAGCGTTATGTTGGGCGCGACGTTGTGCGTGATTGAGAGAAATTTGAATTCTACTGTTGGAGAGGTGCTATTTTTTTTCGTACGTAACTGCGCGTTGTTGCTTAATCAGCACGATCTGGAGCAGTACACTGTTTGCAGTTGCGACAGTGACTGGAGGCACGCGTTCGCGTGTCGCGTCGCGCACGTGGGTGTGTGCTGCTGACGATACGGTGCTTGCGTGCTTTTGCTTGTGAGTGCGTGCGTCGTGCGTGTATGTGTTGCGATGTTGACGTCTATTCAGGTCGTTACTATTTGGCACGAATGCTATTACACCACCGCGCGCATGCACGCACAGCGGAACTTATAATTGTTTGAAGTTCGTGCGTGCAATGGTTCCGGTGTTCGTGCGTGCGGGCATAGCGTACCGCGATGCCGCGCGCGCAGTTGGGTAAAGCGTACGCGCCGCAGCTGGTGGGTGCGATGGCTGTGCCGTGTGCGGAGTGTGTAGTACATGATGTCGCGGGCCTATCTGGTTGCCGACTTAGGAGTTGAGGCGAGTTCAGGGAATTCACCGCCGATGTGTTTTCAAGCGCGTAAGAAAGCTGTTATATTTGATAAGCGGTTTCTTCCCGCACTATAGGTCCATGTATAAGCTACACGCGCGCGTCATCGCCATTGCGTTCACGAATTCGTCTCGTCACTCAGATCTACTGCTACATGGTGATACGAAGGCGCAGTGTACTCTAATTCTACACAGCACCGGGGTATTTGCTTAAACTAATGCAGGGGCGTCTACAAGTAACTAAACACGCGTGAGTTAATTATTGATGCATTATTTATTTCTCAGAGCAATTCTTCCTAGTGAGCGCCCCTCCACGCTTTTCGTCATCACTACAAACTTTCTCGTTTTTCCTTTGTCAACTCTGCTGGATGTGCTGCTCGCTCACGTCTTTCTAACAGTACGTACCAGTATAGTAACTCGTGGCGTCCTTACCTCTTGCGTCGGCCTTTGGCTTTAGCTTTTCCTCTCGGCACGGTCTCCATCCCCATCATCTCATACGTACGGCCCCTTACATTAGATATACTCTCGCTATATATACTCCTCCTTTGCTACGTCCCCATCTCCTACCTTCTTCGTGCATTCCTTTTTCGACACCTGCTGTCACACCGCGGTCAACCTAAAGCGGTCAGTCCGTATACTCGTGTGTGATGCTACTGGCTCGGATCACTTGATCAAGCCAGAAATATTTCAGGTCTTTGTCGCCGATTAACAGAGCGTCTTAAATTAGGTCATGACGAAGGCATTGGTGCGCGCCTAGCATACGGAAGTCCGTGGCCCAATCGGGCGTTGCAACTATTTGCGGTTATCTTCAAGCCGGTTTCTTATGTCTTATCTCGAGAGACGCCGTCTCTACGCTGAATACATTTGACAGGTCGCTTTACGGTCTACGGGCCTTAGTTCGATCCCAGCTAACACGGCCGATACACGGTCACTGTACCTGATGGGTTGATTTGCCCTCTTGCCACGGTAAACGTACACTCTATGCCAAACAGCTTTAGAAGTCGGATACTGCATGTGACGTACCATCCTGCCATCGTGACACAACGCGGTTAATGATGAATTGGCGGTGGGTGTGCATTACAGAAGCATAAAGATTATAGAATCAAGCTTGTGTATAATGCTTTCGTGTGCGTGGGTGGNTGTCATTCACTAACTCCTGTTCAACGAAAAGGAGAATGAGAGCAGAGAATCGTGGCTGGGTCATTGTAAAACGAAGTTTAGACTTGACAATGCTCATTTTAGAGAATGTTCGTTCAGCAGATGCAGAAGTAACAGGAATTGTGGCCAGTCCTGTGAAGACGCGTGAGAGGCAAGGAAATTTTTTTTTTCTTTTCTTGTTTGCCAATCAACAGGGGGAGCCATGGCCCCCTTGTGCCCCCCCTTAGCTACGCCAGTGATCACACATACACACACACAACACAGGCAGGTAGTTAGCCCGGTAAGTTTAGTCGTCAACTTAGCCAGCTAGTCAGCTATAGTAATCGGTAGTAGTATATCCCATCATAATCTATTCGGTATACACGCAGATGTGACACGACTCACCGATATATCGCTATCTTTATCGTACCTGTGCTGCAGCAGATTCTACGGTAACTACGATGAGTGAGCGAGTTGTGTGTACTAGCGACTGCAGAACGAAACACTCGAGTGACGATTAGGATGCCTATACAGCTGATATAGCGGCTGGGTGCATGGTGAGCACGGGAAGAACGGTACGCGTGCCAAAACCTCGCGTGGGGATAAGGAGAGATTGTGAAAACACACGAACGAATGCCACAGTTCCTCGTGCAGTCGGTGGAGAAAGTGGGCCAAACTTGCTAGGGAACCGCATATCGCTAACACATTACATCCGGGTAGAGCCTGGGGTTCTTAACCTGTGGTCCATGGACCCATTTGGGGTCCGGGGATGGACTTCAGGGGGTCCGTGAACCAGGCGCATGCAAAATTTTGTGTTTCTGTGCTTATGTGCATTTTTCTGGGGATGGGCCCGTATAGCTTTCACCAGATTCTCAAATTGGTCCATAACTCACAAAAAGTTAAGAACCACTGATAACACTGGCAGTTAGACGTACACACAGAGTAGAGAAAGTAAAAATAACAACGAGCGCCTTCACTGGGTATACTCAACTGCTGCCGACTTCTGCGAATTCATGCAGACGTGATGAATCAGAGGTCAAATGGTGGGCTGTATACAGAACTGGGAGCGTGAAACATTTCCTCCCGGGCAAGCATGCAGCCATCATATTTCATTCAGTGAGCGTTATGCTGGCACGACGGCTGATGCGATGATTGGAGAAATGTTTAACTCTACGTGGGAGAGGTGTATTTTTTTCGTAACTGCAGCGTTGTTGCTACCCAGCAACGAGAGCGTAACATGTTTCCAGGCGAGTGACTGGAGGCACGCTTTCGGTATCGCGTACGCGTGTTTGTGTGTGTGTGCGTGCGTGCGTGCCTGCGTGCGTGCGTCCGTACGTGTATGTGTTTGCGATGTTGACGTCTATCATGTCGTTACTTTTGGCACGAAGATATTACACACACACGCGCATGCACGCACGCGAACTATATAAATGTTTGGAATGTTTTCGTGCGTGTATTCGTGCGGGCAGGCGGGCATGCGAACGCGCGCGTGTGTGTGTGTGCGTGTGTGTGTGTGGTCACATGATGTAGCGGGTGCTCTGGTTGCAGACTAGAAGTCTGAGCGAGTTCAGGGAATTCCCCGCCGATGTTTTTCCAAACGCGTAGGCGCTGTACATAAGCGGTTCTTCCCCGCGCTATGGGTCCAGGTATAAACCTACCAGGGCTCATCGCCCTGCGTTTGTCTTGTCTGTTTCTCTCAGATCTACTGTTGTTGGTGATAAGGAGCGCAGTGTACATGTACACACAGCTACCGGAGTATTGCTTAAACTAAGGCAGGACTTCTATACAAAGCTAACTAAACACCGGTGAGTTATTGTGATTATTTATATTCTCGAACAACATTCTTTCTGTGAGACCACGCTTTTTCGTCATCGCTCACAACTTTCTCGTTTTCCTTTTCCAACTTCTGGATGTCTGTCGCTCCACGTCTTTCTAAGAGTAAGTACAGTAATAGTAACTCGTGGCTATGTACCTCTCTTCGTCCCTTTGGCTTTAGCTTTTCCTCTCATCGGCGTCTCCATCCCCCATCTCATACGTACGTCCTACCTTATATACTCTCATTATATACTCCTTTTTTCATACGTTCCATCTCCTACCTTCTCGTGCCATCATTTTCGACACCCTGTCACCCTGTCAACCCAAAGCGTCATCACTATCTCCGTGGTGATCTACTGCTGGATCACTTGATCAGCCCAACAATATTTCAGTTGTCCCAGGTTTAAAGACAGGCTTAGGATCATGACACGATTAGGTGCGTTAGTTATAGTTAGTTAAATCCTTCCCGCGCCTATATGGCGCATATAGGGCGGTGCCTAGCTATATAGTACTATAGCCCGCGTTCAGAGAGACATGATACAAGATTGCGTGGCACAGCTTTGCTGTAGAGTTAACTCTATTATTATGTGTTAGTGTGCGCGCAATGGCGGCGCCGTGTGTATACAGTTGATACGCTTCAAGTGCCTGTGCACGGTAACATATACTCATAACGTCTTTTGTAACGTTTATATAACGTAAATGTGTAGGGTTTTTATAACGTTTTCTAAACGTTTGTAAAAACGTTTTTATTGTATTTGTAAACGTTAATCGTTAACGTGATCAGGTTACGGTCATCGTGACGTCATCATCACCAGGTCATCGCGCATGCGCGCCGGCAAGCGGACTGCCGCGTATTCTTCTCTCATCGCTAGTAACTTGACCACAGAACTATAACAATATATGTTATAGTTCAGTGAACTTGACACACATTTATCAGTATTAGTAACTAGAGTGACAGTCAGTTTACCTATAGGTGGCATACATTAATAATCATGCGCAAAGTGTTTGCCGCGTTGCACTATTTTGTCTAGGAAAAAGGCTTTCCTTTGAATTTTCGGTAAAATTAGGAACTAGAGTGCAATAATTTGCATGATGCCAGCAAGGTAGAAGCCCC